TATTTATATTGGGTTTTACCCAAATATACTGAGCAACAATGCATGAATAAGAAAGTGCAGTACCCGATATGACCAAACTCAGCAGCAGCATGAATGGGAAGCTGCGGCCAGTTATTACTGCAGTCTTGGTTAGGATCGGCCCCATGGTCCAACAACAAATCCACACATGCCTGGTGGCCCTCCTGAGAGGCGATCAGCAGGGGTGTGGCTAGATCAGCTGCCTGGATGTTCACATTGGCACCTAAAGGAAAAAAACAAATCAAACAGAATTCAAATGGATTTTATTTGAGTTTATTGCTGGTTTAAGAGAGAAGAGGCAGCGAGAGCAGCTGTTAATAGATAAATATTGATGTTAAGCAAAGAATAAATGTGAACATGTATGAAGGCATGAGGAAAATAAACTATTTACCTGCATTAATGAGAATTTCAAGGGATTCCTGCTGTCCATACTGAGCAGCCACAAAGAGAGGCGAGATATTGTGGTCGTCTAGTGCCTCCAGGTTGCAGACATTAACCAGAGTGCGCACAATATCACTGTGACCCTTGGGGAGTTAAGGTTTATGTTCATTACTAGTTCATATACATCACACAGAGTTAAGTGTGTGTGCTTGTGATTTTAACAGAACCTTGAAAACAGCTTGATGAAGGCAGGTCCAGCATGATGAAGTGTGTGTTCTGTTGACTTCTGCACCTTTACGAACCAGCAGTTCCACAACCTCCTTGTGTCCGCCATCTACAGCTGTAGGAAAATAGCAGCTGATAAATACTTGAGATATAATTAATCCAAGTAAGTTTAACATTACCATCCCAAAGATAAAATAAAATGAATCAATTCACATTAGTTTGATACTGTTCAAATGTTATACCTGCATACAGAGGACAGGACAAGTCGTTTGTTAGCTGGTTGATGTTGGTATGTGCTTTCAGGAGGAGTCGGACCACTGCCAGGTGTCCACGCTGCGCTGCCAGGTAACATGCAGATTCCCCCTCATGTGTCTGAGAGTTCACATACGCACGGCAGCCATGTGAGGAGCCTCCTGCTTCCACACAGAAAAATGATCATTTCAACAGTTGTTTCTCAACTTTGAGGCAAAGAACATTTCATAAACTAGCACTGAAAGGGCTGAGTCATTGTTTAGTCGATTATTCTGATGACTCATTTCTAATTTTCCTCTGTTTTATACAACTGTAAATTGGAATTTTGCACAACGACAACGACACTTGCCTGAAATGGTTGTGTGTTTATTTCAGATTTGTAAAAAAGAAATACGCTTTTACCAAGAGAAGAGAAATGATGATATCAAGCGCTCTTCTTACCGCCGGCAGCAGATAAAATCTCCTGCACACATCCTGCACTTCCAGCGGCTGCAGCCTCGTGCAGAGCGACCCAGCCGCGGTTGTCCCGACAGTCCAGGCTGTGGCCTCCGGTTATCAGCCTCCTCACCCGCTCCCTGCAGCCGGACCGGGCCGCAGCAGCGACACTGGACACGGTGTCTCCGTGACACTCGGTGAAGTCCATCCTCTGCCACCGAGTCAGGTGTTACTCATCTCCATCCGTTAGCATGAACCGCAGGATGAATCCTAACACGAGTGAAAACAACACAAACTAAACGTCTTCATGTGGAGCTTCGTCTTCAGGCTGTTCGAGTTGTAACTGTGATACTTTGTGAGTCTAAACAGAAGAAACGTGTTTTTACTCACTCAGTGTTGTTAACTGTCGCTTCAGGAGTCGCCGTTTAACGACGTCACACAACAACAACGCGTCATCAAGAGCAGCGACGCGGCCGCTGACGCACAGATTTAGCGTTAGCAGCTAATTCCCGTTCAAATTCACTGTTTAGTTAATACCGATATCTACCGCACGAGTTAATTTTACTGTTGTTTAATGAATTTGAGGAAATGCGAAGAATCGGATCCAGAAACTTGAGGGAAACGAGCTAAACGAGCTAAACGAGCGCTTCATCTGAAGGTAAACGTGGACGTCAGCACATCTACTGTGATTGTTGATATCTGCTGGTCATGCCTCAGGACCAGGAGCTGGGTTATCACATGAAGATCATGTAGAAGTTCAATGTTCATCTCGAAGTAAAAACAAGACCAGTGTGACCAGAGCTTCATCACCAGAGGCCAGTTCTCACATAATGCATCAAATATTAAAGGTCAAAATGAAAAATCAAGCATCGACACAAGTCGTTAGATTTCATTGACATGTCAGATGAAGTTATGTTGTTTTGGCATAAGGTTTATTATTCTTATTCTTCTACTTTATCTTCTGTCCTGTCTTCATCAAGCTTTGGCTCCGACCTTCTACCTTTGTTTAAACTTGTCTCCTCATTGTTCTTGCTCACTCTTGTCTCCTAAGTTGTCTCCTACCTTGTGTCCCTGCTTGTCTCCTGGTAGGTTACAGTCCCTGTGGCCTCAGCAGCATCATGGTGGACATCTCAGTGAAGAGTGGAGCTGCTTGGGTTTGTCGTTCTCAGGGATGTCACCTGGCTGATGTCCTGCTTCCTGTGCATGTCCGTGATGGCGAGGACGAGCTGGGTCAGTCAGAGGGAGACGAGACAAACCGGTGAGAAATATGTCCCCATGCATGTTACAGAAATGCAAGTTAACTGAGTGTGTGTCAGCACCATCTTTACTTTAGTAAGAGGCAGAGATGACTGATGCACCATAAAAACTCATCTTTCTCTCTCTGGTGCAGTCCAGTGCTGTTGGAGCAGACAGAGGAAGGGTCTCCCTGTGTCCTGACAGTCTGCTGCAGCTCCAGCTCCTCTGCTGCCATCAACCGCCTGCTGGTCATCAGCGAGGCTCGGACCATGGAGCTGTACAACCAGACAGGAGAATACTGTGGGACGGTACGGGGGGAGAGGGATGATAGCATCCAGCAAGACAGGTATGTTGAACACAGTCTAGATATCATAAGAAAATATAACACACCCACACAGTTCTCACAGATAAATGTGAGATACAGTGTTGTTAGAAAATGTTTTGAGAAATGTCTGGAATGTTTGTAGCAGCTTTTCTTCTGTTTTCTGCTTGAAGAGACGACAGAGGACCTTTCTACAGGAAACAGCTGATCCTGGATCTCCCATCTTCTGCTTGTGAAGTGAAGGTGAGCTACACGCAGGGTCAGAGGTCATGTGTCATCAGTGTCATGTAAACTTTGAGACACCTTGTAATGGCACTCGACTCCACATGTAAGTGACTTGGACCAAACAATTTTTCATCCAGTTACAATTATATAATTGAATCATCTGCTTCTGTCTCCCTCTGGACGGTGTCCTAGCTGCTCTCCCTGGCTGGTAGAAACAGTGTCTTGGTTTGTCGAGTCTTCGTGGGTCTTCAGCCGCTGCAGCCCTGCCCAGTCCGTGGCCCCGGCATTGACATGGAGCAGGTGCAGTGTCTGGTTGAAGAGATGGGAACGAGCCTCTCACCAGGAGCCCAGAACCTCATGGAAATGGTCCATTTCCAGCAGAAAGTGGGTGTAAAGCAGCAATGAGTTATTTAACATTTGATCAAACTCAAGAGGTGATCAGAGGGAACTACAACAATAACATATGTTAATGATAAAAACAGTGGTGTGTGTTTTATCCCAGAACCAGACCAGCTCTCTGGGAGGTTTCCTGCCTCTCCTGATGGGTGGTGGAGCTTTGTCTGTCCTGGCTCGAGGAGCAAACACCTCCCCAGCAGCCGTCAGCAACCAAAACCAGTCTGCCGCATCCACGGTATCTGTCTTAGCTGTGCTGTTGTTTGCTCTTATGCCACAGCAGATTGATCCCTCTGTCACTGCTATGATATTTTCCTGTGTTTAGCCTCCAGTGGGCTCCATCAGCCCTGCAGGTGAAACTCCACCGTCTGAGAACGGAACGATGTCCACCGGCTCTACCTCCTCTCCAGACTCCATACTCTCTGATATCAACACTGAGAACTCAGGTACGGGATAAGAGATTTCTCCAGTAAGACTATGGCCTGGTACTTAATTTAAAATGATGACTTTCAACAAACCATATCAGCTGACCAGTTTTCATTGTTGAGGAAATTCTCTCCCGTCTTTAGCGAGCGGCGATAACAGAAACCTGGTGAACCACGCCCATCTGGCAGAGATGATGTCACAGTTCCTGAAAGGTCAACATGGACAGGCGCTAAACTCGGGCCCTGAGTTTCTGCCCATGCTCCAGAGCGTCTGCGGTCAGGTGACGCAGCTGAGACTGGATGATGCTGCAGCAGAGAAGGAGAGGCAGATGAGGAATGGCACATGGTGAGAGGATTTCACCGAGTCTCTCCTGACGAAGTGTTTTGTTTGTTTTAATGTCATCTTGCTGCTGCTGCTCACAGTTACCTTTCATCCTGACCTCTGACACACGCCTCTAACATCGGACTTGTCTGTTCCAGGCAGTAGCTCCATGTTGATGATCTGTAATCAGATGAACTAGCTCCACCTTGTGTCAGAAAGATATTACTGCTTTCATTCTGTAGCTAAACACTCAGCTGATTCTACAAATGTCAGAATTGTTTAGTTTAATCAAGTCAGACTTATTGTTGAGTCTACTTCTTGTTTTGAGGAATTGAGGTGACAACACTGGGACTCTCAAACTCCTCTATAAGGTGTTACTCCTCCAGTAACACCTTCTGGTTAACACAGTTCAGGCCTTTGCATATTCTCCTTTCTTTGTTAAAGCTTAAAAAATGTCTTCACTATTCAGGCTTTGTCATTTTGATGAAGTTCTTTGATAGAAGCATTAAGCAGTTTTGATCACTGCTCGTTATTGCAGCCACATCATTGCTGCACAGTCACATTGTTGATTCACGGATGAAACAGAAGCTCATTATTGGTGTTTTGTGGAACAATAGTTTTGGTTGTCTGATGATGTCACGTTGTTAACTGAAAGTGTTGGAAGCAACGCCCAAACATTTCCATCTGCTTCGTGGAGAATGTCCACAGATCTCAAAGCTGCCTGGAAAAACCTGTCAAATATTTCGATGCCTGGTGAGGAGAAAGCTCCGACCAGTTCATATCAGATGATATGGAAATAATCACCAGAACATTCTGGTGCCAATTCTGGTTAGTGAACGACGAACAGACTCAACTACACAGAGGGATCCGGGCTGGGTCAGCGCTTGTTGACGACGTACACATAGACAATAGGGTTCATTTATTAGCACTGCTGAATGTGTGAATCGTTAAACTGTTGGCACGCCGCACTAAAGAATAAATAACATATTTAGCCGATACTGATGAAACAGAATGAGCTCACTTGATTTACAGCTGATATTAGTTTGAAAAGTGAAAAATGTTCTTTGGAAGCGGTGCCAGGAGTTTGATAAATGAGTCTCTGTCAGAGCAGAGCAGCACATGTGGGATGAGAGAGAACGTCAGCTGAGTCGACTCCACAGCGGAGAGAGGACAGCAGCTCAGCGGTATGTCTCCACCACAACACATCCGTCATGTTATCAACGGCTAAAATATTTACAGTTTAATACTAGAACAAGAGGAAATCTGATCTTCTATGAGAAAGTATTTGGCAGCATTCCACCATAATTTAAAATATTTGTTTCAAAGCTGCTGATAAGAAGTTTTTCTTATAATAACCTTAGTATCCTTGAAAATGTTTCAGTTTCCTACATTTCCCAGAATACCTTGGACAAAATCACGAGGTTGCTGCATTTCGTTGTTCGTTGACCTTGTAGGGAAATTTAAACTAGTTTTATTCACAGTGAAGAAACTGGAACATTAATGTCTGTTTGTTTACAACTGAAACGTGTTTTCTAGCAGTGTTGCATGCTGGGGGATAGAGGCAGCTCCTGCATTGTATTCTGATCCATGTGGTTGTATATAGTGGTTCCTAATCTACACAATGGAAGTTCTCACCAAATGTCATTAAACAAGTCCTCACCAGTAGTTCTTACCTTCACAGAAGCGTTTATACTTTCATCACTAACTGCTGTTTTATAACCCACTGGATTTCCCCTGAATAACAGAAATGTTGCTGAGAGGACTAGAATCAGGTAAATATAATAAAACCACAGTGTAAAAAACGCAGTAGCGGTCGTCAGGATTTTCTCTGATTCTAAGAGAAGCGCAGTGACTGGTGCTGAGAGCCGTGGGATTGGAAAACTTTGAAGATGGTTTGAAGATTCTTTAGGTAATGATGTTGGAATCTGCTCAGAAGCCTCAAAAGCAAAGAAATGCAAAATGTCTGGAAATGTTTGAGGAGCTGGAAAAAGAGATGTTTTGTGAAGCATCTTGTTTTTTTATTTTTCCTTTGGGCGGTTTGGTTGAATCGAACCGTTAGCTCAGCTGTCTGAGAGTTTCATAAGAGAGACGGATGCCGCAGGATTTTGAGGTTCAGAGAGGAAGATGGTCAGCACTCTCCGTGTGAACCACCCAGGTTTACTTTTACTGCCGCTGCTTATGTTTGAGTTCTGGTCTCTGATGTGGCTTCATGTTCATGAATCGGTCCTTGCTCACCTCTCCATCACCTCCTGAATGTTCTCTTCTGGTTCTTACCACCGAACGTCGGGTCACAGAGTCAGTTTATTATCACCTTTAACACGTGGCAGCTGGTATTAACAGGTTCTGTACCCTCTGAAACTGACGCTCCTGTTCAGACAAGGTTTTCTGTGGATGAACTGAGGTTATCAAACTGGTATTTGATAATTATTGATGATGCAACCATTTGTCTTTGTCTTGTTTCATCTCGAACAGGTCACTTTATATTTGTTTCTTCCTTTTGTTACTTTTTTCAGCCTGGGTTTAAATGCATGATTAAACATTATTATATCAGCACGTGTTATCCTGTTGTCCCCCCCCACTCTACACTCCACAGGGAGTTGGACCCAGCCATGGAGCGGCGTCTAGAGGAGATGGAGAGGAGGCTGAAGGAGCACGTGGACCGTCGCTTGGACGCTCTGGAGCAGAAGTTGGAGAAGGCCCTGCTGAGCGCCCTGCCACTGGCTGCTCTTAACCAGGGAGGAATGAGCAGCTCAGCAGGAGGAACAGTGTCCACCGGACCTGCGGAGCACAACGCTCCAGCCCCGGCAATCCACTGAGCTCAGAACTGCTCTAACACTAACTTCACATGTAACCTGGGGGGGGGGGCTCGCTGACCCTGTTGCTCCTCAGACCAGACCTGAGTGTTAAAGGGGAGGCAGAGCAGGAAGCATGCAGGCACTAACAGAGAGAGGTTAAAATGAAATGATGGACAACATTAACTCAGTAACTGTAATAATCTGCTGAAAGGTCAAATCTGAAGTTTCTCAGTAAATGAAAAAACCATCACCACCACTAAAGACTCATGTCTGTGACGGTCTCTCTGTCTTTTATGTGTAGTTGGACACCTGAAGTGAATGTCCTCAATGAGCCATAGGATTGTCTCATCAGCTGGTGATGTTATAGTTTCAACTTTAGAAACAGTAGAATTAGCAGGAAACCTTTGGTTACAACAAGAGCTTTGAACCGCTGCAGTGGTGTTTGATCTTCTCGTGAGTTTGTTCTAACACAATAAGGTTTGACTTGAAACACCGACACTCTCCTTCACAGTACAAACTGTAACTGCACTGATCTGTGTTTTGGTTCGTCACCATTAAATTGTTCGGTCCAGTTTGACTTGACACTTGTGGAAAACCTCATAATTAAAGAGGGTGTAACTGATTAAAATGTTTTTTTAATATGACACTGTAATGTTTTAAGTCATGTACATGTCTGTAACTTAAAGCTTACCTGTCAATGTAAACTTTGAAATGACCTGTGATATGGAGGATTTTAATAACTGTACTAATGTAAATAAATACAAATATATTTATACAGATAAATGCACTCTTTTGTTTCTTAACTGTTAATTCCACCGTACTGTTGCACAGAAGTCAATTTCAAAAGTAAGTAAATTGCTGAAGTGACAGAAAAATGTTGTATAACTGTTGTAACCGTAAGAAGAAAAATCTTTTGGTCGTGGATTTGACTAAAACATGAGTCAGAAAATATTTTTGAAGTTGACAAAGCTAATTTATTGATGTTTCATGTGGGTAACAATGACAGAGGAAAATGTTGCTCATGAGTTTCCCGCAAGCGAAAATCAACGAAGCTGATGTTTCCAGGAACGCTGAGTCATAAATGGGTTAAAACCACCAAGGTCACTGAGAGTCTTCTCATGTGGAGAACCACAGCAGAGGGTCTGGACCAGTACTGAAGATATCTGAGGAGGAGCCTGCTGCGTGAGAGACCTCGTTCCCAACATGTCAACCATCAGGCGGCTGTGGGCTGAGGCATCACAAATGAAATGGGTCAGACGACAGCAAATTATAAAATGATGTGCGGATGTTTTGTCATGTGGAGGACACACAGTCAGCAGCAGAGAGTTGTGGAAGAAAATCTGCTCCGTGAATCAGGACAAAGTGGGTCAGTGCTTCGTCCCGTCCCTGAGAGGAAAACTGATGTGCAACCTTCTCCAGCTGGGAAATGTCGATCCAGAGGGAATGTAGGAATGAAATGTTGGAATTCAATTTAAAACCTTTCAACCTCATCATTTCAGCCACGTCTGCATTTCTGTTCTGATAAAACAATTCCTGCACATTAGACTCCACAAATCTACACAAGTTAAGGAGAGCAGCTACTTCAAAGTCTTTAGAAATGTACAACAGCGATTATCAAAATTACAATTTGAGAGAATAATTTGATGACAAATCGTTCATTAGAAAAAAACCGTAACAATCTAACCAGAAGTTCATCTTAGTAATTGTTTCATGTCACACAATCTGTCTCTGGCAGATGCAGTTGCCTGGTTTCTATTTATTGGCAGTTGATGTAAAAGCAGAGATAGAAAGTTCATTGTCGACACTGGAAACAGCAGCTGACTGTTCAGACTCAAAACAGAATTAAAATGATTGATGTGATTGAACAAACATTAACCAGGCTGCACAAATTAGAGATTTAATTCAAGTACCAACAGAGCAGCTGTGGAAAATGCCAGCGCTTCATTTGGGATGGAATTCCTTTGTGTTGCCCTCAGGTCTGTCCTCTCCAGAACCTCATGATTCACACATTTGATCTGTGGAACTTGTTCTGACAAAATAAAGAAAAGATGAGGAATTTATTTTAATGTTCCTATTGTAGAGGCTCATTTATCTTATAATATGAAAAAGTAGATGCAAGAATTTTGAATCTCGGAGATAAAACAACAAATGAAGTGTTTGCATTGAGAACAACTTCCATCATCAGTAACCAGCTGTTCTGAGCTGCTGTTGTTGGGTATTAATACATCATTTACTGTTTTATCTGTCTTATCAATAGCAGAATATAGAGTAGATATAACAGTAGATATGAATTTAGTGTGTAGGTACTGGCTGGTATCAGTTGACCCCCAGCATGAACCTGCTCAGAGCACGAATCTCTGGTTTAAATGTGTTGAAGTGTTACATAACACCTCTGCTCCAATGGGCCTCACACACACACACACACACACACACACACACACACGGCCAGCAGATTGAGTCATGCAGTGTTGAACTCAGTTTCAGTCACAGAACAAGATGTTTGAGTGATGATGATGATGATGATTGTTTTCTCCGTCTCCTTGTGAACAGGACTTGGCTGCTGGTGGCGTTCAGGGGTTCAGTTTCCTCTCTAATATTTTTAATGGAGATATAATATTCAGAATTAATGGTTCACTCATGGTTTCATTTGTAGATTTATAGTTGCAGCATCTTTAGAAGCTGCTTGAATTGATTTGATCAAGTTATTGAGTCTAAAGTTCACTCCACTCCTCTTTAGTTGCTAAATCTAATTGTACAGCAGGTCACCAGCTAATTTACTAACTTTACATAAAACTGCAATATGTTGTGAACACAATGAATTGAACTTGTACTTTCAGCAACTAGCCGTTCAGTTTAATGTGTGGTAACAAACCTTAAGCTTGGGTTTAACTGCCCCACAGGAAATGGTAGAAAGATTAAGTTAATGATTAAGTGATGTTGCAGAAAAAAGACGCTAACACTAAACAAAGAAGAGAAGAAGAAACCACAACGTGTCTTCAGAAGCTCTGGGGATCTATATCGGCTCCTTGAGGAACACCGTCCTCAGACTTATGAATTTCATTCATTGAGGAGGAGCTTAAATTATTAACCAACACTTTTTAACATAGTGGGGGTTAGAAAACATGAAGAGTCAAAGCTAACACAAAACTCAGCTGTGCAGTTCGACTGACACTCATCCCACCAACGCTGTTAATGAAGACAACACCTTAAAAAAATTTATTTATTCCCTTTTCTGAAAAATTGTCAACAAACACATAGAAACAACAATACTATTAAAAAATATTCCCTCAAGAACATTCACAACAAAACTACGGAAACCTGCAGTAACTGCTTTGTCGTCACAGATTGTGTTAGTAGAATAAAAAAGATGGAGGATTAGAGGAAAAAGTAAAACCAAGTTGAGAAGCACGTTCACTTTCCAGGGTCGGATCTTTGAAGAGGAGTAGTCGTACTAATAACTACAAGTTCTTTTACACAGTAGGTGTGGCCCTGACAGGTTGCTTGGTTTTTCAAAATGTTCCTGATTGGTTGAAAACCTCTGCGAACCAGCTGGAGGTGTGCCGAGCTGTGGAGCTGTTTGTTTGTTCAGTCGGCTGTGAGGTCAAGGCTCGATCTCCTCGGGGATGATGGTGAGCATGACGTCCTCGTTGCCTCGCCTCACTACCGTTCGCAGCGTGTCCTCCCTCTTTATGGCGCCGCTGACATCGCTGGCCGAGGTGACTCGCTCGCCGTTGATGCTGATGATGACATCACTCTCCTGCAGGCCAGCACTGAGGGCAGAGGGAACGGAGAGTAAATAAATATCAATAACAACAACAACATTGATCTTTAAATACTGATCTGCTGTTGAGGTCTGTAAACTTCTAGAACATTGTACAAAGTCTGATCAGAAAAATTAATTAATACAAACTGACACTGTTGAGAAATCAGAATAACATTTCCATTCAACTTAATTTATTGCTTTTAGCAACAAAAGACGTGAGTAGATTTTTTCATCCAGTCTTTTATCTGGTCCCATAAACAACCTCAGTTATTTGAATGAACCCAACCTGCCACACGTGTGTACTGTACACGTGGCTTCCATGGTTCTACTGTTCCAGGGTCGTGAGGGGGCTGATGGAGACAATCCCAGCTGACTTCAGGTCACCAGGAGTGTTTTTGATGCTCATCTGAATCTAAACATTTTAATAACTGTCCAGTGTTCCCCAGTGTTCAGAGCTCGTGAGCTGAACCCGTCGTTGTCACGTTTTGTTCTAACATCTCACGGTTTGACTTTCTGGGCTGAGGGAGATGATGCCAGAGACAAATCAGGATCTGCTTTGAGAAGGAGTCTGACAGGGTGGGAAACTTTCACGACTCTTCACTGCCAGCTCTCTGTGTCCTACAGTCTTCTCTGACTCCTCCCTGTGTTCCACATCAACCCACGAGACAACAAGTCAACAGACTCTTTCTGCTGTTTTCTCAGGTGCAAAGCTGTCGGTGGTTTGACTTCAACAAGCTTTTCATGAAGGAAACCACTAAACTTTCCAGGGTAAAATATATTCTGCACGTGAGAGTCTACAAACACTTGTCTTTCATGAAGTCTCACGTACTGTGACAAGTCTCATGACTGAATAAAATCCAAGAAGAGAAAAATGTCAGATCAAAAATGCAGTTTGCCAGTTTGTCGTATTGGCTTCTACACAACGTGGGAATAAGAAGCGCTGAGACACTCACGCCTCCGCCGGAGTCCTGCTGATGACCTCGATGACGTACGCCCCGGAGGTTACGTCTGGGAAGTCTGACTGCCTCTCCTTCAGCTCGCTGGCCAACCTGAGGGAGGAGACGAGGAGGAACAACGGAAACGTGAGCTTTTAGACAAACTGTCCTCAAACACCAGTCTGACTTGAACTTGAAGGACACATCGTGACATCTTCAATGTACCGCAGATCGAAGCTTCAACAGATCTGATTTAGATAAAAACATCTTGTTGCTTTGCACCGTTCAGGCTCCATGTTTTCTTTATCAGGTTCTTTTGATTTCTTGTTAACATGCTCCAGAAATTAGATTTGCCTTTGTTCAGTGTCAGATGTGCATTTTACTCATCCACCAAGATTGAAACTTCTTGGTGGAAAATCCTCTTTCTGTGTTTTCCTCACATGAAAGTCATGAAAGCTGCAGAGGACGACAAAAGAAACTCAAAGAGGATAAACCTTCTCTAAGTCAGAGTCAATCTAGATATGTAACATTCATCAATGTAATTCTGAACATGTTCCAGAAGTGTTGCTCCAACATGTTAGAATTAATATTCATCAGGAAAAGACCAGTGCATTCATTACTTATAGTGTCAGTAAGCAATCATTAATAAAGATGTAGCTTTATATCAGCTTCAAGTGAGCGTGTCAGTTTTCTTCCCACAGCCCAAAGACATTCAGCTTAATGGGAGATACTAAAGTGCTTATAAGAGAATCTGAGAGTGGATGGTTGTTTTTCTCGGCTCTGGGATGGACTGGTGATCTGACCAGGGCGGACCGTGACCAGGGTGGGCTGTGACCAGGGTGGACCCTGCCTCTCGCCCATGGGATTGCAGTAATGACCCACACCAGAGGTCCAGCTGGGTGTTATATATATAGGACGGACGTGGGCTGGACTGGTTTACATTCCTGTTCAAACTGCTCATCTAAAGCTGAGCTCACTTTTCCGATACGATCACCTCCCTTAAGCATGAGAGTTTGTGTAGAGACTCAAACCAAACCAAAGGCTATACTCTCATTTTATTTAATTCCAGATTAGTCTGATTTATGAGTGGATGTGCTGCCATACGGTTTACAAGCAGAATTTACATACAGTATTATACATTTGCAAATTTAATGTCGAAAGCATGAGAAGAACTTACGCTGGAGTGAGACTCATCATTTTAACGCCAATGAATTTCTTCTTCGGGGATGTTTTACCTGGAGAACGACACATGGGGATTAGTTTCCTCATCAAACACATTATGTACATTAATGTTCATATTATTAGATTGTTCAGACGAACATCAGGTAGAAACCTCTAAACTCAATGATGGACAGAAAACAGACAATAAAACACACAAGCTTTTAACATTTGTTTGGCTCAGCAGAAATTCATCATGTGATCTTAAATGGACAGTTTTACAAGCTGCTGAAGCATCAATGTTTTACTGCTATCAGACTGTAAGGATAACACTTTTTATTCTTTATAGCTTTCATTACATGTCCTGACCCATCCCACATGAGCTCATGCTGAGAACCTCCCCACTGTATCTGGATGGTTCTCGGAATGAGCTCGAAAATAAAACCAGACGTATTCTGATGATGTTAAACTTCAAACACTGAACGGAGTGTAACAGCAAAGAGCCTTTTTATTTATCTGCCAAGATTTAACGAACTGACTAACATCCAATGCTAAACATGTCCCTCATGCATATTTAATCGACTCAATAGAGTTAATAAAGTTCTCATGAAAAAGAGTAAATAGAAATATTAGATCAATAATAAATCAAGTGAAACTGGTGCAAACCTTTGGCCTGTCTGTCATGTGACTCTGCCAGAAACTGCCTGATCTTAACTGAGGGGATGGCGAAGGAGATTCCAGCTGTGACCTTCAGAGTGTTGATGCCAATCACCTCTCCGTCCTGCACACACATGCACACGCACACACACACACACACGCAAACACACACACACACACTCATTTGAATATACCATCGTTCCTCGAGTGCCCCACAGTTAGGTTCAAGTTTCGACACGAAGCCTGTGAAGCAGTTCTGCTGAAAACAAACTCATGATCACAGTCAGCTGTGGTTAAGCTCCATTTGCCAAACGTTACCTAAACTCTTTAACTTCCCGATTTTATGAGCTTTGGTGTTTGAGATTATGTTTATCGATGTTTTGCTACGTGGAAGTTGTCCCAGGCATCGGAAGCTCAGTTTCTTCTGCCGTTAAATAATGAGGTGATGTAACAGTCAAATGAACTTGAATCTTTCTTGTTAGAAAACACAACAGCTACCCAAGCAAAATGAAATTGTTTTTTATTATTAACACACTCAATATTATCACATTCAAAATCGAGGTAAGTCAATTTGCCTACATGCAGTTTCTGTGTAGGTTTTTGAAATAGTCAAATGAAAAATGGAAATGGACAATGAGGTTGTTCTAAATTGAATTCAAGTAAAACAATACTTTACTTTAATTCAAGTAAAACAATACATTTGTGTAAATGATAAGAATACGATGAGGACACATTTATTTTTAGTTTTCTTTCACTTACCAGATTCACTAGTGGTCCTCCTGAGTTGCCGTACTGCGAGAAACCACATAAAGAAAAGAAATAAGCAATAATAATAATTCTTCCCGATGTGATAAATAATCTAGACTGATTTGATAAACTTTGTATTTGTGGATCAGTGCAGTTACAATTCACTATTCGTGCAGTAACAGAATACAGATCCTGTTCTTCACCAACAGCTTTGGATGACCTTTCCATAATGTTGGTTTTTGGATTCTCTCACAGTGGCTGAGCCAATGAGCAGATCAATGTGCAGGATTGAGTCAGGAAACAGAAAACCTCAGGCTGTTTTAAACACAGTCAAACTCACACATGGTTATCATAAACCTGAAAATAGGTCACGCCATGTTCAGTTTTGCAGAGTTTGGAGACTTTAGGGAATAAAAACGCTGAACGTCATGAAAAGCTGCACATTATTATTTTTTTCTCCCCACACAGTTTTTTTTATTCCCGCCTCAGGGCCTGTCTCTCTATTTTTCTGTCTCTTCACTCACATTGATGATGGCGTCGGTCTGGATGTAATCCATGTCAGAGTTTCGAAGGCCCAGCTCCTTGCCTCCCCTCTGGGTGGTGCTGACGATGCCTGTGGTGACGGTGTTCTGCAGGGAGAAGGGGCTGCCGATGGCGACCACAAACTCGCCGGGACGCAGGTCCGACGACCGGCCGAGCAGCAGCACCGGCAGCTTCATCTGCTCCACCGAAGAGGAAATACAGAGAAGGAAATATGGAAGAAAGGATTCAGTTTGAGGTTCAAACTCTATCAAGTACAGGAATTTGTAATGTTGTCAGACAGTGAACGGTTAATAAACATATTAAATGTAGAACTAACAAAGACAAACTGAAGCTGTCTCATACATGTCAGGTTTGTTTACAGTTGATTCTCTGTAAACTTGGACTTGTGGATTTCCTGTGGAGAGCTGAGTCAGCTCCGCCTCTGGATGAGACGTCTCTTCATCCACAACCCAAACTCTGAACAAACTCCAAACTGTAAATCTCCATGATGACGACTCGCTTCAGCCCTGCAGCCTCATTTCCACCAGGTCAGACCGACGTGTCAGTCAGGCTCACTGGTCTGTGTTTGTTGGATTTTAAACCGAAGCTCAAGTTCTTTGGAACAATCTCAGTCTTGTCCACTTTGAGCTCGAGGTGATTCCAACCCGATACGAGCACGGTGCACAGAAACAACAGGACTCACAGTGTTGGGCTCTGTAATGAGCCTCAGCACCAGAACACATGGTTCAGTTGAGTTTCTCTCCATCACACCTGGTCGATGCAAACAGAGGAATCAAGAGAAAGACGGGATCATTTCTGATCCGTCCCCGAAGACTTTCATCTTTTCAACAAGTCACTGGAGGTCGATTTTGTTCGCACGGCCTCTTGAAGCTCGGGCTACTTGTTTTCATCTTGGTAAACCAAAGTTAAATATTAAAATATTTTATTCCTCTAGCTGAGGATAATTGATGGTGGCAGAGGAAACAGTCTGCAGTCAGTTTCCTGGTTTTAATGGAGTGTTATTGCTAATGTTATTAGGTCTTTACTGGGCTGCTGCTGTGTGTGTGTGTGTGTGTGTGTGTGTGTGTGT